GATCAGCATGTGCTTCAGAAGTATGTTTTTCCAGATTTTTGTTTGATTTACCTTGAGGGTTTTTGGGGCGTTTGTTTTTCTTTTGGTTTTGGTGTTGTTTTGTGTGTGTGTGTTTTATTTTGGGCTTTTGTTTGTTTGTTTCATTTATTTTGGTTTGCCTTTTTCACTGGATATTTATCTGGAGCTGTCACTAGTAAATTATGGACCTTCTTTGTTAATTCCTGGAAAGCAGAAATGTCGAAACTCTAAAGGATTAATCTTTTTCCGACTTCCTGTTCTGTTAAAAACATGTAAATACTTTGAATTAAAATAATTCCTCAGGAACAATTTTTTTTTTGAATGATATATCTGCCACCCTGTTGAACTGCTCTAAACTTCCAGCAAAAAAAAAAATAAAAATCTAAAGTAAGTAGAACTACTGCTTCCTGGAGAATGTAAAGCTTGAACCAGAGAAAGGGACAAGAAGTCACAGCTAGTTGTCTCCCTTGTAAGGTCATTTTTAAGAATGGGTCTTTTGATGGTCAAGTGTTAATAATTGCAAAGAAAAGTTGCTGCTCTTTGTCATGTAAAGAAATGGGATTTTTAAATTTCAGATTTAGGAAAATGCTAAGTACTGTGCTAGTGCAGACTGTAGGAAAATGTTTAGCATGGTTCTTTCTTTTGGGTATACTAAGCTTCATTGACTAAATTGAAAAAAAGGCTGCTACTTTAGTTCATGGCAGGATAAGGCTTTATGTTGTATTGTCTCCTTTAGAATTATCCCTTCTATTGAGTGTAATTCGCTCTATAGAGGGAGGTGAGCACAGATTACAGATAATCATGGAATCAAATTTGACATAAGTTTGTGGTCTTTATGGCGGTTTAGCTCTTCATCTTAATGCTGGTCATCTGAGATTGTTTACCAAAGAAAATCCCTAAAGTAGTGGAATTGCATTATTATGGTAAATAGAAACATTTCAGTAGCTTGTATCACTTCTTTGAAACGATGCGGAAAAAATGGAAGTTGAAAAGGGAAAAGAACTGATCTTTCAGCTGATGAGAGCTCGGAAATGAGACAGGGTCGACATTTTTGTCTGTTCAATTACTATGTCATGATGTTCAGTAAATGCTAATTTTTACACCTATACTGGAGTAAGTGGCAGTCAACATTTGTATAGAAAGTGTGTAAGAATCATCAAGGTATTATGACAAATAAAATGTATTTGTTACTGCTAAATGATCGTCATTCAGTTGGAATATTTAATAACTGTAATCACATTTGTTGTTCTGCTTGGAAGTGGGGGCATGAGAGAGAAAAACATGCAAGCTCTCTGTGTTGGTGTTCTGAAAAAGGTTGCTGTTAAAGGAAGCAGCAGTTATTTTGTTGTTGGGAGCTTGGCTAGCAGTCTACACTGGAGTTATGCAGGAAATAGATTTTGGTGATCAGGAGTGGAGAACAGAGGGCTGTTTGCTGCTTCACTAGGAATGTACAAAGTCATTTACTTATGAACAGCTCATTTTACATGGCAGCAGGAGACATGAGTTTATTTACATTTGAAGTAAAATAAGCATCTTGCTTTAAGAAAAGGCTGCTGCATTACTCTGTTCAACAGCTGCCATGTAATGACTGTGCCAGGAGGGTTTTATTGTAGGTAAGGACTGTTACTCTTAGTATTATAGTCATAGTAGTTTTTTCTTAATAATATTCATCTTCCCGAATCTTCATTTGCGAAGCCTAGCCATGATGATGATGATGATTCATCAAAGAATAATTGACACTCAAAAACTTTTGAAATGATGTCCTGACCCATCATGCATACATATGATTTTTGTAACCATATTTCCAAATGTTCCCTAGGGCAACTCAGTATGTTGTGTTTTTTTTAAATCATAGTATGAGTTTCTCAGAAGATACTATCATTTGTCTGTAAAGTTGAACTTGCTCAGAGGAAGCAAGGGAGGCAATAGAGTGTTCTTTTTGAAAAATAGGGAGTGTGTTTCCCACAGCTGAAAATAGGGCTGAAGATAAGAAGGTGAAACCTGCCTGAAATCAGTGGGAAATTTGTTGTGACTTCATTTGAGCTGCAATTTCACTTTGGGGGCATGTTGCTGGGGTTGAGCGACTTGTCTTTAGTTGATACCAGACTAGGCAGAATTAACCCTCTAAGTCAATTGAAGAGAATTTCAAAATGAGATGGGTACCCTTTATTTTGGTCATCCTGGGACAGAGTCAGCTAGCTCTCTTCTTGGAACAGTAGACCTTTTGAGAAATACCTGATGTTTCAGTAACTCAAGATTAGACTCCTGTTGCTAACAGCATCTTTTTTTTGATAAACTAAGATTTATGTTAGATTTAGCTTCATCAAAACTTATGCAAAAATGAGTTTTACAGTAGCATGTTAAGTACTGCAAAAAATCAAGAGCATTTTTCATACCTTTTTAAGGTAGTCAGTCTTAAATTACATGGGTTCCATGCAGTATAATTCAAGCTTGCTCAGCAACCTGCTTTAGTTTTGCTTGTTTTATCACCTAGAACATTAAGACTTTTTGTGGGAGTAGATGAGTCATAAAATCTTTCAAAAAAAATATTAAATATGTTAAAGGCTATTTTTACTCTCTGTAGGTATTTTTTTCTAAAACTCATGTTTGTTTACATATTGCATTGCTCATTATAACTGTTCTAACTTAGTAGTTATATATGGGCACAAATAAAGATGATAATGTAAATACTTTATGATGTTTTGTTGTTTCTCAAGAGTTATGAAAGAATGATTTAAGAATTTAAGGAATAACTTAAATCTACAGCTCATGCAATCTCTGTAGGCTTTTATTCTTCTGCTGGCTTGGATTTGACCCCATTTTTGGGTGCTTCTCTGGTATTTGTGCTTCTTTTTCATTACTTTGCCTAAAATAAAACAAGTGTGTTAAATGCTTGCATCCTTGCTGATACATATTTCATCTCTGAATCTCATAATGTCTTTTGTGGGTGGGGAAGAGTAACAAGGAGAAAAATCAATGTCTGTTTTATTTCTCTGTATGCTCCATTTTTTCCTCCTCTTCTGAACGTTGTTTCTTAGTAATGCTTTTTGCATTTGAGTGTAAAAGCAATGTATCAGATAACAAATAGTTCAATGACTGGACATTATTAGAAAATATATTTGAATTTTATATTCGAATGTACCTTTTGAAAAGTGAGTGGATTTAGTATTGTATACATCAAAGGGACAAATTACATATTTGCTGTTAGTTTCTTTCACAGAATAGTGGTGAAAAGATTTCCGCATATTTCTTCGCAAACTAATATAACTTGCCTTTTGAGACAAGAGTCCAATCAAAATAAACAAGGTTTATATGACCACTTAGGGAAGATGTTGTTTTAATTATAGAAGTAACATTAGTTATCTGGAGTCTATGTACATGTGTGTTTTACAGGCCATGTTGGCAAAGACGTGCTTTACAGGACAAGTTAGCGAAACCACCTTGTTCTTTTCACAGGATTGTGTCTCTCTCTGAACTGTTTCATGCTGTGCAAGTGGTGCTTAGTAGAAACAAATATGTAAGAGTCCATGCCAAGAACAGATTGAGCCTGTGCATGGAGGAAGCAGGCAGAGCTGCTCAGCAAGGACCTCTGCTTTAAGGTCCTCCTGTCCCTCCTCAGAAACTCCACTGTTCGCTTTTGCTGTCTCTCCTAACTTTCTCAGCTGGCAGCATTGAAAATTTGTGTGTGTTTTGACTCTTCCACCGTACTGGAGAGTGTTTAAAAGGACAGATGCAAATTGAGTGGTTTATGTTTTTCATTGGTTTCATTTTATTGCGTGTTGGCAAAACTGAAGAAAATCAGAGGCCAAGATATCCCCCTGCAGATTTAGGAAGTGTGTACTTAATAGATTTATGGCCCTTTTATGTTTGGAAAGTTATTTTAGGGAGGAAACTATTATTTCTGAAATGAACCTTAAGTTCTGCAGAAAATGATACTTTAGACCTCGTGTTCACCAAAGAAAAAAATCCTATCTGATACTGGAGAGCAGACAGGTGGATTTTCAGTCCTCTGAGGTGATGCTATGAGAAATCCCATGCATCCTTCTCAGATTGGAGCTTGTTTTATGACCTGAGTAAATTTGCAGTCTTGCAGCAAGTGGTGAAGAGTAGATTCAGTAAATGCCAAGACTGTATGGGGTACTTGGCCTTTCCTTCTTTGATTTTATACATTACAAGAAAAAAAATGTTTTCTAATATTCCTTTAGGCCTGTAACGCTGGGGTTGCAAGAGGAGCATAACCACAAAAAGTAATTGAAGAATTTCCCGGAAAAGATCAGATATACTTAGGGTGTATTGGGTGTAGGCTGTTCTTTCTTCTTTCTCTCTTGTGTTCTGTCATCCCATTTTTGTGTTTCACATGTAGAACTGACTAAAAATATGTTCCTGTTCTTGGTGTGCATCAATATTCTGTAAAGCAGAATAAAAGCCTGACTAAATATCAGAACCCTGTTTATGTGTGAGGAGTTGTGTTTTTACTGGAGTTGCTTTAGACTTACTTGCAGGAAGTCTGAAACTTCAGCTCTCTGTAAATGCGGTTAAAAAAACCACCAACAAAAAGAGTTAACTGGTTGTAAGGCTGTTGTTTGTAAGAATGTGGAAGGATCCATGTTACATGTGATGTTGTGCTTAGTGGAGAAAATACGTTTTTACTTGAAAAGTATTTTTTATATATGGACCCGACCTGTATTCCACTTCCAGATATAGGCAGGAATGGCTGTGTCCTGAATCCTTTCAGGTAATAAACTTAAGTGATCTCAATATTTTATTAAATATTTGCCAAAAGAAAGGACGCTTTGGCATTTAGTTGTTAATCCTGTAGTGCAGGAATGAAATGCTGCAAACGATAGTTTTTAAATGTATTGTGGGTTTGTTGAATACTTTTCGCTGTCTTAGAGATGCGAAATTTTGCAGATTATTTGGCATTTTCGGTACTATCTCTGAAAAAGGTGGGTGCAAAGTCTTACATAAGAGTTCAGTAAAAGGCATGGAAAGGAGCCCGGGACTAGTAGAGAAGGAACTGCTTCCTTCATGTCAATAAAAATGCAGGAGAGCACCTTTCTTGACACAGGGGTTGCTGAAACATCAGTGCTGTCTTTTTTTGTAATACTCCTGTGGATGTTTTTGCACAAAGTGGTATCTGTCAGAGCTTGAAATATTCTTGCACAGTTTCCTTTGAACAGGTAGCATAGGACAAGTTCTAGCACATAGCTGCTTGACATGGGGCTGCCTACCGCGGGGAAGGAATGCCTTGCTTACATACATCTGAGCTGATGTGTTAAGAACTTTGCCAGTCATTTTGCCGATAACATACTGGGCTGTGAATAATTACTGAACTTCCATTTTGAATCACAGCTTTTTTCTTTTTTTCCCTTTTTTCCTCCCCCATTAAAGTAAGACCACAGCAGTGGGAAATACTGAGAATGCTCTAACAGTTCGTGATTAGCCTGGAGATATTTTTACTGAATCTAACATAAATCCACACATTTTTATTGCTACGCAGTCTTTGTTTTTGAAATGAAATGTTTCTTGTCCTTGTGTTGCTTTCAATGGTGCTGTTCATCTACTAACACACCTGGTGTGCAGTATGTGAAATTACAATGGAAAACAGACATTGTGAATGGTTTACCTAAAAGATGCAATAAGAAAACTAAGACTTAATATTTTCCTGAAAAATAGATGCCTTTTCTTTGTTATTTTCATACACTTGGCAAGAGATTCTAGCGGATAATTGAACAGTGGTTGAAAAAAGCATAGTCTTGGTTTTGTGTGCTTGCTGGAGTTCTTTATCTACGCTGTTAACATCTTGTTTTGGAATTGAGATATTCAGACACCAGAATGTGATATGCTGTGAAAATCCCAATTGTGCTGAAAAAAGGCAGAATGAATTGGGTGGCAGGACTCCTTGAAAGGATGTGAATTCACTCTTGTCCCATAATTTTTCCTGTGGTTGCAGTCAGTCTAAGTGCTTATTGGAGCAAGCAACATATAACAGCATAGTTGTGTGTGGTTGCCTTGAGGGATTTTTCTTGTCTTTTTTCTCTTCTGTGAGATTCCTTGTCTTGGGGCAACTTTCTCTGTTTAGCTGCAGGTGAAATGAGCCTTGCAAATATATTTGTCAGCTGAAGCAGAGGTGTACATATTTGTCCTTATTGCTACGTTAATATTGTTTGTTACACTGTATTTGCTCATGGAAAATTAAGTGAATAATGAAAGCCTGAAACCTGTTCTGGATAGAGGTGTTACAGATGCTTGTTCAGTCTTCTGCTTACTCTCCCTACTAGCTGAGGAAACTGTATTGTGGGGGGGCTCCCTTCAAAACCCTCTTTGTATTCAGGAAGGCCACCACTAGCTGTTACCTCTCCCATTGGTTTCCATGATATTTAGTGAAATTTGACTAAAGTCTTGCTGTTCATGTCAATTTTGCCCTTAACATGCAGCTTCCAACTGGAGGCACAGGAGGCTTCCCATTCAGGTGGGGGAGTGAGGCTACCAGCCCTTCTGCAGCAGCCTGTCCCTTCACAGGGTGAGTTAGTGGAAAACTGCAGTGGTTATGAGCTGATAAAGTAAATGTAGTGACAGTAGGGCTGTGGAAAATCTGGGCCTGTATTACCAAAAAATACATCTTGACGAAGCAGTCATTCGGATGAAGATGTGTTTTGATAACTATTGATAAAGAGTTACCACGTGAAAATAAGTGTGCAGATGCAAATCTTAAAAAAAAAAATGTTGATAATGGTACGTGGCTGGCTACTGTGGTTTAGTGTCTTTGCCTGGACTTTTGGACACCCTACAGTGCCACTGATTTAGAATTGAAACCATATTGCATATTGAAGCAGTAATTTCCTTTTTTTTTTTTTTTGTATAGAACAAAATGGCTGACTAACTCAGAATTTTCAGGGTATCAGAAATAAACAGACTAAATCTATGCTGTAGGATTGGAGAACTTTGAAATTTTGAAGCTTGAATTGTTCCACTGACCAGAAAATACACCTCAACAGGACTTTTCTGACATAAAGAAAGGAAAATATGGCTCACAATTTTGAGGCTGCAGAGATTCCCAGAACATGATGACCAAGGGACATTCTGAGGTCTCAGAACATCCCATGAGGTAGAGGAAAACCCACCTTTTCCATTTAGTGCAAGAAACCTAGCACCTCCCCTCTTCCCTTTTTCCCTTTCCCCCAGCCACATTTGTCTGTCAGTCAGCTCTGGTGGAAGAATTCACATTAGTAAGGTAGGGTTTTGATGCAAGTTGCCAGGAGGCAGAAGCTTTTTAAAAGCCTCTTTATCCAGCTGATGTGCTCAAAAGGCCTTCCTTCCCAATAAGCAGTACAGAAACAAAGATCCTGGAAGTGACCTGCTGGTAGGGTGAATAATTTGGTGTGTAGAAAGCTGTTGGTGTTTTGGAGAAGCTGGTTATTTTCTTCAAAGGGAAGGGAGCATGTTCTTTGGCTGAGCTCCCTGTAGTTAGCAGAGAAGTGATTTCTTGGGGTCACTTTGGCTTGGGTTGGTGGAAGAGCTCTGAGCTGGGGCAGTGAGGGTGAAGAATAAGATTACAGGAACATGTAAGCACACATTGAAATGTTTTGTGAACAGAAGTGATCAAGGAACCAAACATGACACAGAGCCCCCCCCCCCATTTAATTGCTTACACTCTAATGCTGGCAACCCGGATAATAAACAAGAGGAGCTAAAATTTCTCATTTACCATTATAAATTTTATCTACTTGGTATTACTTGAAATCTAGTGGGAAGGTTCACAGGATTAGAATGTTAAAGTAAATGCTTATAACCTATTTAGAGAGAATTGAATGGGTAGAAGGGGAGGGAAAGTGGTACTCTATATCAAGAACATTATGTATTTCTGAGTAACTGAGTACTCAAAAGCAAATGATTTTAAATGCTTCTAAGTTACTGTCCTGGCTGAGAAGGCAGGAGGTGAGGATACTAGCTAGTACACACTAGAGAGCACTGAAATAAAGTAAAAGCAAGATGACCAGTCCTTTAAGAATGTCAGCTGCACTGGGGAGAGCAGCGGGGTACAGGGACTGACCACCACCTGCTGCCAACACTGAACCCTTAGGAATTTGTGTTAAAAACTGTGTGTAAATGCAGGCAGCAATTTTTCTGGAAAAACACTGTATCTCACACTGGGGAATTCAGAAGCAGATAAAGAAGAACTAGTTACAGAAGTAAATCAGTGGTTTTTTAGTTGTAAAGACTATAGCTTGATTTAACTAAGTTGTATGCAGAAAGAACTGAGCTCAAATAAGCAACAACATAAAATCTGTGAGCATGGGTGGGTATAGATTGGCAGATATATTTTTTACATATACAAACACTTGTCTATTGCTTTCGGAGGGACAGCAACACAAAAGATGGAAATGGTCATGAGCTAAATCGGTTGGGAGGGATTTTTTTTTTCCTCTGTAGATGACGCTTGGAATGGGTTAAAGGTTTTTTACTAAACAAATACTTGAAGAAAAAGTTAGTCCTGTCCTGCTTTTTCTGTCTCCAGCATCTGTCAGAATTTTAGAACTAGAAGCTTCACTTCTTGAAACAATTTCTTTTTTTGTTTGTAAAGGATATTTTGAATGTGTATCAAATTTATTTAAGTGCTTTCCTTAACTAATGAGGACCTGTTTTAGAAGGAGTAAAATTCCTTCAACTATAAATGAGCACTAATTGTGAATTTAAAAAAATTATCTGGTAGGAAAGAAGTGTTCCGTTTGCCACTTTTATAATGTAATAAGTGTGTTAAACTTAAGAACTGAATAAATATTTGTTCAAATACATAATTGCTTAAATAAGTGTGTGTGGACATTTAAATACATTTTTCTGGTTAGCAAAAAGGCTTGCCAAGCATAGTAAAAAAGCATAGTGAAATCTAGAGCTAATAATAAACCAAAACAGAATAGTTACCAATCAGTGAGATTAAACTTTTCTTTAAAATAATAACAAAAAAATAATTAATGCAAGACAAGATTAAAATATATTACTCATACCAGATTTTCCTGTTTGCCAGTTTAAATGAAGATAAGACTAGATTTATATAGAGTACTCTGATTTGAATAAATCCATTGTGATCTAGGAACTAAAATGCAGCTCTCGCTTACAGGATATTGTTTTCTTCTGGAAAAGCAGTGACAGAGAAAGCTTTGAAGGTCATGGTAGATAATCAGTTGAATGCAAGTTCCTCGTGCAATCCTGCAGTTTAAAAGCATTAATATGATATCTGGCTGAGTAAAAGAAAATGATACTGGCAAACTGCATCAGGTTTTTGGTCCTTCAAAATGGCTAGTTGGAGATGTTGCTCATATAAAGAATTAGGATGCATAGAGTGAACTGGAGAATGTGGTTAATAGTAAGAATTCCAAAGAACTGAATAACCTTTTAGGTTAAAAGAAGGTAATTCAGGTCTCTTGGCCTGAACCCGTGTATAACTGAATATATGGAACAGAAATTTTAAAGAATTTTTCAGTCCAGTGCACAGGTATATAGCATGGGCTGTACTTTCACAGGCAAGGAAGGCCCATTGACTGGAGAACTGTGGCTATGTGCAGATACCATGTAAGGCTTGCTGTGTCCTTCAGGTGTTGCAGTACATCTTCAAACAATCAACCCCCAAAGATCTGAAAATTAACTTGGTCTTTAAAGTATTGAGTGACATAAACATGAAATCACTTTCCTTCTGCCTTATTGCAATCAGAGTATTTGTTTTTCTTCCTGTAGTGAATCTCATCTTCCAACAGTGTTGTCAGTTTAGTAAACCTGTACCACATTGTTATGCCTTCAGAAACCAGGAACTTTAATTACTAAAAAAACTGTACAGTGGTTCTTAATTCTGACTAAGTGAGTGCTTTTTGTGGAGGTGCGTTCTCTCAGCCCAAGATGTTTCCCATCAGGCAACTTGAAATGCACATAGAAGGTATGAAAACGCCTTCTGGAGATGGAAGGTATTCTTACTTCTTCTAAAATACCACATGTAAACTGTAGGAGTTCAGA